TTTCCCTAAAGTCCAAGGCTTTTGTATCAAACAGATTTGTGTATATCTGCTTATGTGGATAAATGGGTCAGGGAAAAAAAAAATAGATTTACTCTCCTGAATTGTTTTTTGTTAAGTCCATCTATTTTTTTTTTTTACCAGTTAACTGCCAGGAAAAGTATGCAACCCACTTTGAAAAACGAACACTGTATTATGGTAGAACAGAATGTCTGAAACTGAAGATAAAACTGAGTATATTTTTGGTTTTTAAGAGATCTAAAAGACCTAACACTGTCTGCAGCCATAAATAAAACACAGATTCAGGTGAACTAAAAAAAATTAAATACTGATCATAATCTAGAAAAATATTCCTTAATCTGATCCCAGTTAAAATGCAATTTGCTGCTTCGCATTGGCTGATGCCACACTCTGAAAGTCACAATCAATCACATTATTTTTTTTTAAATTAAGATTCACATTTGTCCGGTGTCAGCTTGAAATAACTATTTAGGGGGCCCATCCTATTTATGGGAATTACATGGCTGCCCATCTTATACATAATAATCCTAAGTGGCTCACAACAACCTTCAGTAAAAACAGAAAGATAATAACAATCCACCCTGCAAGGACAACAACACACACACCACATCATGATGCCACAACATCCCATCAATTCCCATTGCTGATCCTAGCTCAATGGTCGGGGGAAGAGGGCTCTTCGCTTGGGGCAAAAGCCAGGTCTTCATGGCCTTCTGGAAGGTTAAGAGGGTGGAAGTCCTTCTTATAAATCAGAAAATGACGTATTTAAAGTCCCAATGTCTCCATGAAGTCATGTCTCAGCCTTGTAAAAATGTCCTTTCCCATTGGAATATTGAACCCTGCAGCTCCTGTGGGACACACCATTTCTCGCCATTAAGACGTTCTAGAAATTGGTCTACAATCATTTCAGTTTCCTGTTGTCTTCCTTCTTTCCTTCCTTATCCAGAGGATAAGCTTGTAAGCTTCTGAGAAGGAGTGAAAGTTAATTGCTTCAGCCATGGATGAACCTGCAATAAGCATTTTTCAAAGAGTGTGGGCATATCCAGCGTACCCCCTATATACCAGAAAATACTATGGAGGGTGGGGGGGGGTATTTGAGGATTTACAAGTCAAAACTATGAGAAATAGCCCTGAAAATCTAGAGCAGGCAGATACAAAGGACAGATCTATCACAAGCCCTTCAGCAGAGAAACCGCAATGTTTAACATTGCCCAAGTTTCTCTATTATTCGGGTTATAGGAATATTAACCAATTTCATGCTCTTGAAGTTGTGTTTGTTGTCCAGTTATATTTACTGGGGAGGAATGATGGAGGAGGGGGGGGGGAGGAGAGAAAGAGAAAGATTTGTATTTATTGGAAGCATAATATCTTCCCTCTGCTTTCCTGTTTTATTTGTCGTCCAGTCTGTTTGGCTCCTGAAAATCTCCAAGCATCTCCAAGCTGGGGATCAGCAAGGTTTGTTCTGTGTTGCCATAACGACCATTTCCATGGAAATGATGATCCAATGAGAGAACTTTTGTAGACTCCGTTATGCCCCCTTCTTTATTTTATTTTTTTTGCACCATTGCAGAACCTGCTTTTTTTTGGGGGGGGGTTATTGTTGTTATTGCTGTTGTGGTTGTTTGATTGTTTTGATAAACAATCAAACCCAGCAGCAAGGCTTCTGGTCCAGGTCATCCACTTATCTGCCTGCTGCTGCTGCTGCTGCTGCTCCTCCTCCTCCTCCTCCTCCTCCTCCTCCCCCCCTTGGAATTGCATGAGACCAGCCAAGGTGAAGCCCCAAATTGGAGCATATTCCTCAACATGAACGACTTCCTGCCAGCCAGGAAGAGAGTGGGAGACTCTGGCACTCTGCCTTGGGCAGCTTTGAAAAAGCTAGAGATCAGCTGTCTGTCTTGCAAGGCTATCTGAGGCTTGATGCTGGCAAGGAGTATTTTTATAACTTATGGCAAGCCAGAAAGGGAGGGTGAATCTGCCAGATTTTATTTCACAACTGAGAAGTGGACCGCAAGCTTGCACATGCGTTTTGTCCTCGTGCTAGTAGAGTTCCCCCGGCAAATATTGCATTGTGCGTGTTGCCCAACTATTTTATGTGTGTCTTTAGCAACCTTCTTTTTGGGTGTGGCTGTCCTTATTTTTCATCCATAATTCTTACTGTGAGAATTCTACCTAGTGAAGGTCAGTTCTGTTCCATGTTTTACTTCCCTTACCTTTAGGAAAGTTTTATACATTATTTATTCAGTTTCTATAGCCATCCATCTCAGTCAACGACTCCGGGTGGCTTACAATTATATATACACACAAACACATGTTTTCATTTTTTTAAACATTTTTTGATACTTTTTCCAAGGGTCTAAGTCCACCACATATTTTGGACAATATGTTTCAAAATCTATATCATTATTGTGTTGATTTTGACAGATAAGCATTGAAACTTAAAATATTTGAAGGACAATGCGTTCCTGTAGTTGGTACAAACCCAAAACTCAATGGTGTAACTTTGCGCCTTCTGTTAATGTATCTTAAACAAAACTGGGCTCACAGAATTTTTAGTCTGGTGACATCATGTAAAGATCTCCACCCTAAGCAAAATAGCTGGAGTATTAGAATTTTTTAATTTAATAGTGCTGTGATGTTTCATCTCAGCTATAGTGAAGTGTGTCTGTGGTAGTAGAGACTGAGGAAGAAATAATTTTGTGTAGAGCGTGATTTCCTCTATGAAATCTTCATATTCAGCAACCTCGTTAAGAAGATAATTATTTGTTTTGTCTTATAGACAGTATAAAAATGCCTCTAATTCTACCAGTTACCCACCTGCAGAACAAATATAACTCAGAATTTAGTCTCCATCTGAGGTTCCTTAACTCTTTTGGATATCTCACAAGCAAATCATGTTGGAGAGGCTATCTCCTTTTGCTTCATCGGAATAATGCTGCCTTTCAGCCAGCAGCTCCTTTACCATCCATGTTTGAGATGCTAAATAATTTGACATTTTCTAAATTGACCTTACATGACTCTGCATCCGTCTGAATATATCATTTGAAAAGCTCCAAAATCGGGGAAGCTGCTATATAAATACGTAATCAAAATTCTTCTTATTCTCAGTGTTTAGAAATGTGTCATTACTGCAGGAGCAAAAAAAAAAAAAAAAAAGGCACCCACCCACAGGCCTATTTAGAGGAATTGCAAAGTTTATAGAAAGTTTTTAATTTTCTTGAGTACAGGTAGTCCTTGACTTACAACCACAGTTGGTTTCAGTGTTTCTGTTGCTAAGTGAGACATCGGTTAAGTGAATTCTACTCCAGTTGCCTCAGTTATTAAGTGAATCAGGTTTCCCCATTGACTTTGCTTTATCAAAAGATGGGATATTGTTTCTAACTGGTGTTCTGACTACTGTCTAGAATTAAATCAAAGTATTTCTACCTAATTCTATTGTCATATATATTGAAGTACATAGCTATTTTGCTATCCAGAGTCCTGGCCACCACTGGAATTTGCCATCCTTGACCTGGTGCCATTTGGTAGTTTTGAAGTAGTTGAAAATACCCACTATTGTTTTTATTTATTTACCGTATGGCATATCATACGTGGACTAACAATACATATTAACATGCACACGGTTGTGCCTTCTATCTAATGCAGTTTGCACATCAGTATCATTTTAATATGCAGTTTTATTTGAAATGTTATTCTATGGAGATTGATTTTTTTTAATCCACAATAAATCTGCAGTGACTAAGATTTTTTTTTTTACTACTTATAATCTGATAACATTTTAAGCTATTCAAGTGCACTGAGTGTTTTGCTTCTTAATGCATCCTTTTTCCTCCTTTGTTTCTCTGATATTTCACAAATTCTCATCACTGGGTATGCAGGAAAGTATGCATGCAAATGTTTGGTATCTAAGGTCTGCTCAGTCCCTTAATTTGGAGACGAGTGGTATGTAAATGTAACATTTCCCATTAAAATATGTGGTAGGATAATAACTAGATGCACTAACTTATATTTGGTTCCCAGTGAGAATTGACATAGCTAGACAGAAACAAAAGGAAATTCCCACTTTAAATATTGCTCAGGTGTAATTTATATAAGTGCCTTTTTTTTTAAGCAGTTCAACACCCACAGTTCTTTTGCATTAACCAAGCTAATTTCTTTTCAAAAGTGTTTGACGTTTTAGGTTTGGTAAGCTGAACGTCTGCTTAGATACTGCTTTGCTACTTAGCGAGTTTTATACTTTCAGACTTGCAAAATTCTGATAATGAAGCCTTACAATAAAATAAAATTAGCTCATTTGGTTGTGTTTCCTGTCTGATCTACCTGCGAAGGCTGACATCAATCTTGCGAGTCTGAAAGTACAATTTGGTCACTGTCTCCCTTTTAGCCTGAGAACTGAAAAGAAGAGGGTCTCTTCTAAGACTCTCTCTCTCTGCCCCTTATGCAACTACAATCGACTACTCGGAGTGGGCTTGGATCCGACCATATTCAGGGAACTCTCGGGGAGATTCGGCCGTCCACAAGTGGATCTCTTTGCCTCCCCGTTAAACTCCCAACTGCCCAGATACTTCACCAGGTTTTCGTCCCGGGGTGCAGAGGGGACAGATGCTCTCCGCAGCGAGTGGCCCAAGGGACTTCTCTACGCTTTAGGCTTTGCCCTCTCTTATCCAGCCATTCCCTCGGTGGGTCTACAACAACTCGCTGGGGCCAACTCACTGTAGTGCGACTGAGTAACCTAAAGAGAGATAGCTGCCTTCTGAATAGAGACAGTTATTCTTGTCCGCTGGCATAGTCAATTTCTGTTATTTGTTGCTTTCTGCCACCAAAGAATATCCACTTGTCTTATTTCTGGGAAAGCTCCATGGTCCATTTTAAGCTGGCACATCAGCCAGCCCTTTTCACCTTGGATATATTGGAATACGGTGCTGAATTTCTGTCCGTCGCCACAATCCAATGGATGTTCCGTCTTTTTCTCTTTTTCTCCTTAGGAAACAGGAACAATTCCAGGCAGATCCTGACAGTTACAATGGAGCTGTGCGAGAGAACTATACTTGGTCTCAGGACTACAGCGACCTGGAAATTAAAGTTCCAGTGCCCAAGCATATCGTGAAAGGCAGACAGGTAACGAGCGTATCAGAAGTTTTCTGGCCCATTTGGCTGATAGAATCCCCACCTTTCCTAATGAGATGCCCACTGTAGCTCTGTTTAGAATTCTTCCCTTGCTTCCTTCATGGCTGTGAATAGTGATTCTATCCCATAGCAGTCCAAACTTGCTGAATGCTGCAGCCGTTTCCAGCCATCCTCCAGCATGAAACGAGCCTGGATTGCCATTAGCCAGATTAAAACGTAAAGGGAAAAGAACCGTGTATTGATTGCATAATATCCCAGGTCCCGATTTCTGATGCCTTCAGTTAGAAGAGGTCTAGATAGCGCCTAGGATTCACACGGCTCTCCATTCTTGTGGTGATTGTGTTGTCAAAATTTGGAAACTCCCCCTCCCTCTGCTTTTAAATTAAAACTGCAGTGAGGAGGCCCCAATGAGCTAAATGCTTCTAGTTGCTATTAAAGCACTCTGAAAACCCTCAAAACATTAAAAAAAATGGGTCAAAACTGCCCTCTCCAGAATCAGCCCTTCAAAGTAGGCCAGGTTGAGTAAACAGACATAGCAGGGATTCCAGGAATTCTCTTTATTATAGTAAGAGCCTCCTTGGATATGGTGTTGAAGGAAACATTCGGGAGCTGTTATAGAACAAAGACAGAAGCATTCCTGAAGCCTGGGGAAGGAGGCAGCATTAGAAGGAGCCTAGGCTGGCTACTCCCTGACTTAAAGGGGCCTAAGAGCGAGAAAGATAAAATATAAGCCAACTTGCAAGATTCTGTTACTATAATTCAGGGGTAGGCAACCTTGGCTCTTTTATAACTCATGAACTTCAATTTCCAGAATTCCTGAGCCAGCCATGCTGAGGGAAAAGGGAGAGGTTTCCAAGCTGAGCCATGCTGGCTCAGGAATTCTGGGAGTTGAAGTCCACGACTTATACCCCTGCTATAATCTATAGTACCCCTATAGTCTTCTTCTGAGTTGATTTCCTGATCTGGTCTATCTCGTAAGGTTGACAGCAGAATAACATAATTTTGAAATTCAGGTTCTTCTCTGTCCCATGTTATACTAAATAAAATTAAGGTAGGGTTATTATTATGGTTAGTTTTGAGTTTCTTTCTCAAGAAATTTCACTGCATATGAAATGCAGAAGAAACATCATATGCACATTTATGATGGTCGCCAACCCCCCCCCCCCCAGGAAAGGTATCTTTAGCATTTTCTCTGGCATAATTCCATAATAATGTATTTACTTTTCTGACATCTTCGGTCAGATCCAGTCTTTTAATGTGTAAAGTGACTCTGAAAGTCTTGATTTTGATTTTCCACTCCTATCCATGAAAAAGTAGTCGAATGAACATCTCTGTTTGGTTGGAGACTATTTGCATCCGAACATCAACCAATATTTCTTTTGCCGTGATTATTGCCCAGCCGCTGTTAAGCTGATATAATCAGCGCAGGCTAACCGTTGTGTAAACAATCTCATTGATTTTATCTAGATTTTCCTGAGAGATGTGATTTACCGGGATGCCTTTTCTACTCAGGGCCTGGGTCTATGCTTTGTAGAGTGTGAATTATTTTTAAGCACTGGTTGCGAGGGCTGTTGCTTCTGCGAGCAAAGTGCCTTGTGGAGAGGATGTTTAAGATGGCTGATATCTGTTCATAAAGCATCTAGCAGAGGTGGCTATCCAATTCGTTCCATCTGGCTTCCTGGATTGGTGACCCAAAAGAAAGAGGAGTTAGGCTGGATTTGGGTGACTCCTCCTCTAGAGGAATCATTTGATTCCTCACTGTGTTACTTTGCCCTCAGACTTCTGCTGCAGGGCTATCGGCAATCTTCATGCCAGGACCTTGACACCACAGAAGACAAGCATGCTTAGATTGGGAAGTCTCTGCAAAGGAAACTTGTTTTCCCTGGAGTCTTTCTCATGTTTACTTAATAGCTAAGCAAGGTGGGATGTGGGAGTCGCCATAAAGAATGGGAACTTGAAAAATAATATCCCCAAGAGGGCAAGGTCAATCTACTTCCTTATTTTAGCCAAGGGAATTCTCTCTCTCTCTCTCTCTCTCTCTCTCTCTCTCTCTCTCTCTCTCTCTCTCTCTCTCTCTCTCTCTCTCTCTCTCTCTCTCTCTCTCTCATGTGTAGGCACGCACAGTTTTTTTCCCCCATGTGTAAAGTGATTTGTTTTTCTTCTCTTGTGATTCAGGGCACCTGAATCAAGCATTCCCTCTTGGTACATCTGCTTCAGCTCATATTAGCTCCATATCAGAATTGCAAGAGTGTCAGCTGACATACACAAACACCCAGCGTGATGCCGCTGCTTAGCAGGTGCTCTGAAATCAGCAGAGGAAGCAGTAGCTGCAAAGGTGTCCGCAGCAACACCCGTCGGCTTCATTGGGCAAGTCAAACCAGCCTCTTTTTATCTGCATTCACCGCACGGGATGCCCATTAAAAGGAGCGAGTTTTGATTGCCCAGATGCTCATCATTTTGAAGCCAGCGACTGTTTATTTTATTGATTTCTTTCTTTCTGTCTGTCCCATCTTTATTATTTTTAACAACTAAGGCAGAGAACAAAAACCCTGTGAGCTGAGTTGGGATGGGAAAGAGTGAGGGGCCCAAGGTCACCCAGCTGGCTTTCATGTCTAAGGTGCGATTACAACTCACAGTTTCCTGCTTTCGAACCTGGTGCCTTAATCATTAGGCAACACTTCCTTTCCTGTACATCCTAAGTACAGGTAGCAGAAAACCTTGTATTGTGTCCTTCAGCCCCCCCTTTCAGCTCCAGCTTAATTGAAGAAAATGTTGCTTCCATTTTGCACAAACTACATTTTCTTGTTAGATCCCAATTGGGACAAAGTAGAGTCATCAGGAATGCCAGTTTAATGTAGTGGTTAAGCCATCAGGTTAGAAACTGGGAGACGGTGAGTTCTAGTCCTGTCTTAGGCACAGGCTGACTGGGTGACCTTGGGCCAGTCACTCCTTCTCAGCCCTAGGAAGGAGGCAATGGCAAGCCACTTCCAAAATCTTGCCAAGAAAATTGCAGAGACTTATCCAGGGAGTTGGCATAAACACAAACTTGAAGGCACACACACACAAAAAGGGGGGGGGGCATCTTATGTGTGGATTAAAGCATACGGGTTTTCCTAAATTGTAATTAATCACAGTTCTGTTTCATGTGTACAGAGCAGCCCATAGTTAATTGAACGCAAAAATTAAGACTTCCAAATGAGTCGTGGCTGGGCCAGAAGAGAAGAGAGCAAGGACAAGTACATAAAGCCAAAAGTTATACATTTAACATTCAACTGTGGTTAACCTTTAGCATTATTTGTGAGCTGGAACAGATTATCCTAGGGTCAGCATCCCGTGTATCAAACGGAAGATCAAGTGTTCCCCGCAAATTCTTTATCGTTGTCAATTATTGCTCGTTCCCACTCGGTGAGGCATATTGCCTCTGAACATATAAATGGTCTTAGGCAATACTTATTTATAGCCCTTCCTCTATAAATTTATCTACTCTTGAAATTTAAAGCAGTCTAAACAATTGGTCTTCTTGTCGCAGAAGATGCCATAAATTGCGCGTGGCATGAAAAACTGTTTTTCTTTAAAGCATTCAGGAGAACCTCAGCCAAGAAAACTGGAGAAGGACTGTTCTCTCTCTCCCCACATGAAGCAAAGCAGGAGCCTCTCCTGAGATCATGAATTTAGAAAGTGCTCTCCAGTCCACAGCTCGGAGGGCTGCCCACTGCATCGTAACCAGGTTTAGCTCTTTGCACCAAGGATTTTAGCCTACTCTTCCAGAGTCACACTGGCTATTCATTTTTCCTGCTATACAGGTAGTCCTTGACTTACAAACATAACTGACTCTGGAATTATGGTTGGAAGTCGTTTCGATGGTTAAGTGGGCCATCATGTCCCCCTCTTGGCAGTAGCCATTAAGTAAACATAGTCACTGAATTGAATCCATTTTACACAATGCTGTTTTTTTGCTGGAAACTGGAAGTAAATGCTGGATCCCCTGGCAAAAAAAAAAAAAAGGAAAACCACAGTCCCATGACTGCAGGATACTCTAAACCAGGGGTCTTCAAACTTGGCCCTTTTATGACTTGTGGACTTCAACTGCCAGAATTCTGTGCCTGGCTGAGGAATCCTGGGAGTTGAAGTCCACAAGTCATAAAAGGGCTAGGTTTGAAGACCCCTGCTCTAAACTGCCATAATTGCGAGCTGGCTGCCAAGCACCCAAAATGCAGTCATGTGACCATGGTGTGTGTGTGTGTGTGTGTGTGTGTGTGTGTGTGTGTGTGTGTGTGTAGGTGTCAGAACTTCAAAATTGGGTTGTAAGTATTGGACTATCTATAATTTTAGCCTTTTCATACTATCCATTGGGTTTTATTTTGGTAAACTCTGGGAAAGCCTGTCATGCTACAGTCCATAGGGTTGGGAGAGTTGGACGCGACTTAGCGACTGGACAGCAACAAATCTGCAATTTGGAAACAACGGTACTTTGTTTCTCCTTGGATAGTGCAGCATCTTGGAGATGAATGTGTCGGGCTTTGTTTTTCGATCTCAACTTTTAAAAACTTCATTTAAAAAAAAAGAGCGGCCCAAAGAAGCGGCAAAGGCACCTACCAGCCCTGCAATCTCCAGTTGGACAAATGTTGTACTTGCTTAATCTTATTTTTCTTATTTTGCTCTTTATTTTCTTGAATATAAATCCCATTCGCCAAAGCACAGTGCAGTTTTACTAAGACAATCTTTGTAATCAGAAAACAAAACCAGCAAAAAATGATTTTTCTTTGACTGATGTGCAGTACTGGAACTAAATTGATTTAGCATTGGCCATGTTTACACCTAGCTTATCCTAAGAGGCTCGTCTTCCTAGTTCACTACAACTCATTCTCCCTTCACCTGCTGAGCAATAAAATAGCTGAAAAAAATGCTGTGAGCGTCCTCTTTCTTCTATGTCTAGGTTGCAATCTTGAGCTTCTCAGTTTCTGGAGTATATTGAATTATTCGCATATAATTAGCAGTCCATACATGTCATTATTTCTGTTTGCTTCCATCCTTTATAATAACCATCTCAGGACAATGAAAGAGAAGGGAATCTTTGGTTATAAAGATCTGTTGCTGACCATTGAAAGTGATGGTCAGTGAAAGATTACTACTCTAGACTTAATGGAATAATACTAGGGGGATTGATAACTGTTGTCTGCCCAGCAGTAGAACTGAGTGATTCAAACATTGGTATAGAATTAACTCTGACAAGTGACTTGTACCTGGAACATGTTGATCTGGGTTATGCAATTGTGTTGTGCATTATTACATTCTTGCAGAAAATGCAGTCCACCTTAGCTGTCTGTATCTTAGACCAGAAAAGAAAGATTTCTTGCTAATATAGTATTTATAGTTGTAGGTCTGTGTGCATTCTACATGTTAGTAAAATGACAAGGTTGTAACCCTTACAACTGAACCCAGGTATGGCCAATGTCACTTATTCCTTAAGCCAATGAAATGCTCTCCAAAGCTACTTGTTTGCTGTGTCTACATACTTTTTATTAAACCAACTGTTTTTCTAGAATGCAGTGACCATATAAAATATATTTTCTATTCACTTCTAAACTCAAGCAGGGTTTTATGCCAGAGGCAGGAATCCCATAGGCTCCAGGGATAGATGAATTAAGATTTCTCAATCCTAACCAGTACAATCAGGAAGGTGGGCAGATCAGCACAATCTGGAGGGTTCCATTCTCTGAATCCCACTGGTCTTAATAGCGCTTACTTCAGGGTAAACATGTATACAGTTACACTGTAAAATAACATTTAAATAATGAATTATGCAGTAGCACTTAACAAGGAGAACCCCAGAGACAATAAGCAAGGGGAAAAAAATGGGCGATTCAATTGCTAAATGTCTGCTTTCAGATGCTTGTTTGTTACAAGATAGCAGTAGCACTTAGATTTACATACCATTTCACAGTCCTTTACAGCCCTCTCTAAGCAGTTTATTGCCTCCAACAATCTGGGTCCTCATTTTACCAACCTCAGAAGGATGGAAAGCTTGAGTCAACCTTGAGCTGGTTAGGATTGAACTCCTGGCAGTGAGCAGTGAGTTAGCCTGCAATACTGCATTCTAACCACTGCGCCACCATGGCTTTTTAATGATGAGGACCATGGCCCAATAAAGTCAATTCCTTGTTAAGTTACTCCTAGTTTTAGTATTTTGATGTTGATGATGCTATCTCTTCCTCGTGGAAACATTGAGGCACCTGCACCGTATACCTGGCTGCATATGTTCTGTAGTTGCTGATGTGTTTGAGGAGCCTGACTTCCCTCTGGAGGGAGCAGCTCGCAACAAAAGGATTAGTCTTCCACCTTTTCCCCTTTGCAATCCTGGACTATGTTCTGTGAAAGATCAGCTTTTTCTACTTGCTTGTTTTCATTTTCCATTTCAGCCTGGCTTTGCACACGTCTACTTTAAAAGGGTCCTATACTGGACCTATGTATTCCTGTCTCTCTTCTGCTAAAAGAAACACAAGTCACTCCCACACAACCTGACCCATTCCTTATTTATGAATAATCCCTTTACATTTTGCAGAACCTGTGGACTCGCTAAGGTAATAAAGGCTAGCAGTCTATAAATTAGAAATTCAAAAGGGTGATGTTTTCTTTTGTACTGCATTGTGTTTGTATTCTAATCTGCTGCTGTAACCCAGAAAGGACTATTAAGGGATGAATCACCTTTCTAATTCATTTTTCTGTGCTTCTTTCCAGGTTTCGGTGGACATCGGCAGTAGTTCAATCCATGTGTCGGTGGTGGAGGGACGTGGGCGCCAAGTGCTCATGGAAGGCACCCTTACTCACAAGATCAACACAGAGACCTCTGTCTGGAGTCTAGAACCCGGGAAATGTATTCTAGTAAGGATTACCTCATCATTTCCTTTCAGTGTGCGTGTGCACCTGTATATGCAATCTCGTGTCTGCCCACGTACATACCCTGCAGGTACTCCTCAGCGTAGGACAACAGTTGGGATTGAAATTTCCATCATAAGTTGTTGCAATCGTAATTTGAGTCAGACCTGATTTGACTACCATCTTACGATGCTTGTCAAGCAAATCCATTGTCATTAAGCGAATGCCACAGTTGTAAGTGTGGACTCATTCTTCTGAACGGGGAAGGGCCAAAAAAACGGTCGCAAATTGCGATCATGCTACTACGGATCACTGCAGCCGGTTATAAATACAAACTGGTTGCCAAGCGTCCAAAAGAACTGAAATTTGAACACAAGCATAAGAAGATCATTTCCTTTGTATTCCCTAAAAAAAGGCAACCTGCCTCTGATGCTGGAGGCAAGACAGCAATAACAACAGCATTTAGACTTATATACTGCTTCACAGTGCTTTACAGCCCTCTCTAAGCAGTTTACAAAGTCAACATCTTGCCCCCAACAAGCTGGGTCCTCATTTTACCAACCTCGGAAGGATGGAAGGCCGAGTCAACCTTAAGCCGGTCAGGATCGAACTGGCTGTAGTCACAGTTAGCCTGCAGTACTGCATTCTCACCACTGCGCCACCACATATGATCGTATAACCATAGGGGTGATGCAACAATCATAGGTTTGAGGGCCTCATAAGACCTGCCTTTTTTCAGCAGTGTCATAACTTTAAACAATCACCAAATGAATGATCGTGTCAAGGACTACTACAGTATATTATTTTTTAAAAAAAACGGAATTGCTTTTAGGTTAATATGATGGACATACATTCTTTTTGAAGAGCATAGCGAAGGCACTGCTAATTTTTGGTGCCAAAACATCACGTGTAACTGCATATATAGCTCCACAGTTTTGCTTTTAATGTTTGATATTCTTTGCTATGAGGCTTTTCCATGCGCTCTGTCATAAAGACACTAACCAGACCAGAAATGTTATCCTTTAGCAGAAGTGCTTCATCTTGAGGTTTCAGATCATGTTCTTCCTTTTACTTTAAAAGACTGATGCAGTCTTTTAACTTCTGCTTCTCATGTCAATTTTTTTTTTATTGCTGGTCTGTTTCTCCTTCCCTTTCTTTTCTCTAAGGCCCTGTAGCTCTTAAAATGGCCTCGGGCTTCTCTGTCCCTCATCCTTACTCTTCTGTTGATGGCTGAATAAAAAATGGGAGCTGGGGAGGACCCTGTATTCACTCTGGAATCCTTGGTGGAGTGATAAAATAATGGAGAATCTTTAGATGTCTGAAAGAAGTGGGTGTTGGAAAAATTAACTCTTTCCAAGTGCAAAAATGTCTCTGCTTGGATATACAGGTAGTTCTCAACTTTCGGCCCCAGTTCAGCCCAAGATTTATGTTGCTAAGTGAGAAATTTGCTAAGTGAGTTTGACCCAATTTTATGACTTTTCTTGCCATATTTGTTAAGTGAATCACTGCCGTTGTTCAGTTAGTAACACGGTTGTTAAATGAATTTGGTTTCCCCATTGACTTTGCTTCTCAGAAGGTGGCAAAAGCTGACCAGGTGACCCAGGGACAGTGCAACAGTCATAAACGTGAATCAGTTGTCAAGCATCCGAATGCAAATCACCTGATCATAGGGATGCTGCAACTGTCACAGGTGTGAAAAATAGTCAAAGATCACTTTTTTTCAGTGCTGTTGTAACTTCGAATCGTCCCTAAGTGAACTGTTGTAAGTCAAGGACTACATGTAGTTTATTAAAAGCATAGGGAGTTGCTGTATCCTAAGTCTCCTTAGTTCTAGGTTGCTTCTCTCCTTGATCAGTTTCCATCCATTGTTTCTTCAGGTGCTTAGGAGAATAGGTTTTAATATTGTCACAGGATGTAAGCCAGTGGTTCTCAACCTGTGGGTCAGGACCTCATTTGGGGTCGAATGACCATTTCACGGGGGTCACCAAACCATGCTATCCGCCATTTTTTTCCCCTTTTCCCTAGCTGTCCTACTCCCTCTTATTGGTGGCCACACCCACTTGGGGGTCACCACAACATGGGGAACTATATTATGGGGTCACAGCATTAGAAAGGTTGAGAACCACTGATGTAAGCTGTTCCAAATAAAGCTGCCTTTGTAATTGACCGATGGTGATTTTGTCAATGCCGATGGTGTTCATGATGCTCCAAATGCTTTGGGATTGCAATCCAGGCACTATTATTATTTGTACTGCCTTTGCTTTCTTTTGTCACAGTTGTTCTGTTTTGGACTTTGTGATTTTTCTCCAGTTCTTCCTCTTCTCTTTTGCTGTCTCCAAATATTGCAGTGTCTACTATCCAGGCTTTTTTTTTTTTGTCTTTCTTATTGACAGTTTTTATTATTATATTGCGAACAAGAGTATAAGCCTCAGCCATCTCTGCATGGGGCAGTGACCTCAGTTGGATTTCTAAAGATGAACCAACAAACTGGCTGATCAAATTTAGCTTCAGCATGTTATAAAAATACACCCTTGGGAGTTCTGGTGTGCTATGTTATTTCTTATACATACAGCTAGCTCACTGCTGCAAATTTTGCTGGAGGGGAGAGCTTTCATGCTGTACTGTATTAATAAATTTAGATTTAATCAGCAATAGTTGGTGCTGAAGGCAGGTTCTGCAGCAATTTTAATCTGCTGTTGTGAGTTCTAGTGGCTGTGGGTGTGATAAGCCTGGCCTAACTCTGGCACTTGATTTCTTATCCTGCTCGTATGAAGTTCTTCAATGTGATACAAACACTATGGAGACCTCATTACAGATTTGGTCTACTTTTACTTGTGTGTTTCTAGATCAAATTTGCTCAGCCTTCAGAGTGATCTCAGCTAGTATGGACTAGGTGACAGGTGCTAATTTATGTCAGAAAAGGAAAATAATATTCCTGACCAATTACTTTTGAAAGTCTCTTTGTAATGCAAAGTAAGTTTATTGAAGTCTTTAAAATCTTGTCCTCTAAACTTATTTTCAGATATAGGCATTTAAAAGTTTGCTTCAACGAAATGAATGGATTTTAGCAAAGCGCTGTAGAAGGATGAGAGGGATCTCCTATCCTGCGGAAGGATTTCATCAATTATATGTAGCAATGCCTATATTACCTATATATTATTGGTGGCTGCCCGAGCATCCTTGTCATGTGCTGGTAGCATTATAGTCTGCTAGCGAACATGTGCTTGCCGTGTATTTAAATGAAGCTTCCTGGAAAATAGGTAACTATTCAGACTTCGGGCTTATGATTTGCAGTTCATGATCAGGCAATTCCTAAAACTAATTGCCATAGCTGCTTTAAAGAGGCAGTTTGGTCTAGTGGTTAAGGCACCAGGCTAGAAAGCAACAGACCATGAGTTCAAGTCTCACCTTAGCCACGAAAGCTAGTTGGGTGACCTTGGCGCGCGCTCTCTCTCTCTCTTCTCTCTCTCTCTCTCTCTCTCTCTCTCTCTCTCTCTCTCTCTCTCTCTCTCTCTCTCTCTCTCTTTCTCTCTCTCTCTCTCTCTTTCTCTCTCTTAGCTCAACCCATTTCACATGTGGTTGTTGTGGAGAAAACAGGAAGTGTGTTGGATATGTTCGCTGCCTTGAGCTGTTGGTAAAACTAATGAAGGTGGGATATAAATAAATAAAAATAATTCCTTTTTCCCCCCCACTGTAAAGCCGTCCTGGTGCAACTCTCCGATACGGTAAAAACCTTTATGTGGAAGGAAGCGTTAATAACGAATCAAGCATATCTCGGGAGGAAATTATACTTTTGAATTCTTCAGTACTGTTCTTCAAAGTCAACCATTTGGAAGAGTGATATTACCCCTGTCTCTGGTTCCCATGTACGTCCCCAAACTCCCAGCCTCGTCGGTAATATTTCTCTGTGTGACCCTTCTCCATTACCCTAGTTAGTGTGTCGGAGAACAGGACCAAAATAGATTCACGGGAGCTGTTTTTAGTAACCCGTTCTGGGTGCTGGGCTGAAGCATTTTTGTCTCTGCGTTTACTCACTCCCAGTAGCAAGCTGCTTGGCTTCTTTCGACCAAACGCTCCATTGTTGCCTTTTGGTGGACAATTCTAACACGTTTACGTTTTTGGAGAGAAACTGGGGTGAGAATACTCGTCCTACTCCTAATCACAACGGACTGAATAAATAATTGGTTTTTAGTGGAAAATCTAAGGCTGGAGTCTTTCCAAGCTAAGTTGCCTTGGAAATTCATAAACAGTGCGCGTGTCACATTACGTGCCATCTTTAGGAAATTGTCTCACGCTCACTCTATGCCTGCTTCAAAGGAGTCGATTTGACAGGATGATTGTGGGCAGGATTCGCGGACAAAGGCGCTATGTGCAGTTTTTGCGGGGAAGGGCTTATAGCAGTGTTTCTCAACCTTGACCATTTTAAGGCATGTGGACTTCAACTCCCAGAATTCCACAGCCAGCAATGCTGGCTGTGGAATTCTGGGAGTTGAAGTCCACATGCCTTAAAATGGTCAAGGTTGAGAAACACTGGCTTATAGTCTCCTACGGACCGAGGAATTCAGAGACACACAGTTGAGAAATTGTCTACAGAGCCTTTGGGTTGACACTGGGCTGGCTCGCTTGTAATCTTGGCATTGTGCACAAGCAGTCCCCGACTTCACCCCAGTTTGTTTAGCGGATCGTTACAACAGCATTGAAAAAAGTGACTTATGACCATTGAGGTTGCAGCCTCCCCACGACCCTGTGCTCAAAATTCAGACGCGGGGCAACTGCCTCACATTTATGACGGTTGCAGCGTCCCCCGGAGTCACGTGATCACCCTTTTCCAACCTCCTGACAAGCAAAATCAATGGGGAAGCCAGATTCGCTTAACGGCAGTGATTTCTTGCAGTGGCAAGAAAGGTCGTAAAATGGGGCAGACCGCACGTAACAGATGTCTCTCTTTACAACAGAAAGTTTGGGCTCAATTGAGGTCATAAGTCAAGGACTCCCTGTGTTTTGCAAGCTCCAACTCAGCTGAATTCTTCCTCCCCTGCAATCCACAGTTTGGTATGCAAGAGTGTTTTTTGTGTGTGTGTGTGTGTTGGACTGCTTGTAATAGCAAATAATGATATGCACTACAGAGGAGAAAACAACCCAATACTTAACATTAGAGCAGAGGTCTCCAACCTTTTGGGCACCAGGGACTGGTTCCGTGGAGAAAGGTTTTTCCATGGACCGGAGAGTGTGTGGTTTTGTGTGCTGCCTGCATCTCACAGATGGGGCTTTGCTTGTTTGTTGCTGGCATGCTGCGGCCCAGTATTGGTCCATGGGCCAGAGGTTGGGGACCCCTGGTTTAGAGCTTTCCCTCTCTCCTATCCATCATCTATCTATCTTCTCTATCTCTCTCTCTCTCTCCCTCCCTCCATTTCTCTCTCTCTCTCTTTCCCTCCCTCCCTCCCTCCCTCACATGCATGTACACACACACACACACACACACACACACACATGCGCGTGCGAGAGAGAGATGGATGGCACCCACTGTTCTGGGTTTGATTTCAGGCCTGGGGTTAATGTGCTCGAGAGACACCTGTTTGTGGTGGGCTGCCTTGTTTGTATGATGTTTTTAACTGTTTTGATCATGCATTGGATGTTGTGAGTTAGCCGGATTATCCTGGTGTGTGGGCAGCCTAAATAAATAAAATACAAACAAAGCAACCTACACTTCTGCACCTGCAGAAGAAGAATACCTTTTTAAACATTTAAAACTGAGTTTTGAGCAGTTCTTCAGAGGAGAAGCGGTTAGCCCAGATCTAAGGGTACAAGAAGAAAATGGAAGAGTTTGCAAAAAAGCCCAAGCTTGTTTACCTCCTAGTGCCAAACTGCACAATTGCCATCTTGTGCTGCAGATGGGATGGCGTATTATTTGACTGGAACGGTAATAATACCAGCCTGATTATTTTTTCTCCCTCCACAGTGTGGCATTGCCAACTTCTGCTGACAGTTTTTATTTTCTTCCTTCCATTCAATTATGTCCGATTCTCAGAGACTGCCTGGATAAGTTTGCTTGTCAGAGTTTTTCCAGAAAGTTTTGCATTGCCTCCTTCCTAGGGCTGAGAGAAAGTGACTGGCCCAAGGTCACCCAGCTGGCTTTGTGCCTAAGGCGGAACTAGAACTCAGGGTCTCCGTTTCTAGCCTGGTGCCTTAATCACTACATTCAACTGGCTTTTGTTTGACAATTACTCCTGCGTTATCAGTTATTGTGCACTTTAATAAGTCTGAAACTACGGTGTGTACCATGGTGGCGCAGTGGTTAGAAAGCAGAATTGCAGGCTAACTCTGCCCAGAAGCAGCAGTTCAATCCTGACTAGCCTCCCATCCTTCCGATGCCGAAAAAATAAGGACCCAGCTTGTTGAGGGCAATATGCTGACTGCTTAGAGAGGCCTGTAAAACACTACGAAGCGGTCTATAAGTCTAAGTGCTATTGCTGTTGCTAAGGCTCTTCTATGGTAATTTTTTTCCATTCTAGGTACCAGAACTGACTTGCAGACATGCAGTGTGACTGTGTATAAATCAAGGGAATACTTAGTGAAAGGTATTGTGACAACCTATGTTTGATGAGCCGGCTAGCCTTTCTTTTGCTTGCGTGGAATTTGAATTTTGGGAAAAAAAAATATTGCTCTACCAAATTCAATAGAATGAGCTATATGTTTTAAAGTCATGAGGAACTATTGCCTACAAGGAGAAGAAGCCGAAGCCATTAGGGCAGGGGTCTTCCAACCTGGCCTTTTATGACTTGTGGACTTCAACTCCCAGAATTCCTCAGCGTGCACGCTGGCTGAGGAATTCTGGGAATTGAAGTCCACGAGTCATAAAAGGGCTGTGTTTGAAGATCCCTGCTATAAACCAGACATGTCAAACACAAGGCCCGGGGGCCGGATATGGCCCGCAAAGTGGTTTCATGTAGCCCGCAAAGCCATCCTGGAAACAGTGAGGGAACGGCCCCCACTGGCTTGGCCCTGGCCCAGGCCGGCCGGGAGCCAATGTACAATTTTGTGGTGGCCATCTATGCTGGAACGCATTCAGTCTTAGCTCCACGACGCCGTCTAGAAACAGCGAGGAACCAGCCCCTGCCGTGTCGGTCCCACCCCCTAGGTGCATGCTGGAGAGGTGTCACCCTTGTGAGGAATGAAGAAATGCACTGTCACCTGGAAGTGGCCAGCAAATGGCCCTCGCCTACTTCACATATCCGGCTTGATGGGCTCCGGCGGAGGGGTTTCAGCAGGCAGTGAGGCTCCTCCAGTGGACCATGCCTTGGCACTTGCCCCGGTCCCACCCCCTTCTGTCAGAGACCCTCAGATCTGTTCCCACTCCTTCCCAGGCCCCCACAGGCACCCTTGACGCGAACGATGTAGAGCTGGCCATGCTCACCCAATAGGCCACACCCACTCCATCCACACCCACCCAGTAGGCCACAGACCACCCCCCCGAGGGCAACCGCAATGCTGATGCGGCCCTCAATGAAATTGAGTTTGACACCCCTGCTATAAACCCTTCCCTTACCTGTCCTTTTTGCTTAATTTAGCTCACTGGATGTTTAAGAAAAACTGGGCAAGAGAGCAGCCAGCTTAAAGCCCATTGAGAAGAGGCAAGCCATAAACAATTATCATAATGAGGGAATGCAGAGCTCACACCCCAGAGAATAGGGAACCGTGATCTGACGTGCAACTGATTTCTTTAATTTCTAGTGGTCTTCAATGATAAATCCCGTATTTTCTTTATTGTAGGTGGCTCCAGAAATTGCCATTAATTTCTGGAAAGCACCTATTTCCCTGGCTGTGTTTCCGCCTCGCATGATAGATATATTTGAGAATCTTCAACCTCATTTTTATTTTCATTTTATTTATAAGCCACCAGTGGGTTGAACTCATATGATATAGTAAGCTATAAATTGTGGTTTATTAACCACAGTGGCTGAATTCATACACGCCTAGCTTTCCAAAATGGTGCATTTCCCCTTCTCCTTTTGACAGCTGAAAGTCTTCAGTGCTTTAGCCTTTTTCTGATTCAATTTTTGATGAAACGACTACAGGTTTAGGAAAGCTGCTTCACAATCCCAGTACCTAAGGACCTCTTTGGTTGCCACTAGCTGCTTCAGTCCCAGCTAATGTTGCTTCTGTCTTTTCCCAGATTAACCTCAGCAAAGTAGGTGAATACTGGTGGAGTGCCATTCTGGAAGGCGAAGAACAGATTGACATTGATAAAATCAATAAGGAGCGTTCTATGGCCACGGTGGATGAAGAAGAACATGCAGTGCTGGACAGACTGTCTTTTGATTATCATCAGAAGCTTCAAGGCAAGCCCCAGAGCCACGAAATGGTACGTTTCATAAAACTCCAATGTCCTATGTTAAAGTGGAAAAATAATTATGGTTGGCTAATTGTTCCTTTGTTGCTATTGGAGATGGTTCTTTTCTTTTTTTAAAAAAAATTGCTTAATATTGGGTCTTACCATTCTAAGTTGGGCTTTTAGCTGAACTGCTAAATAAAATTAATGTTCGGTGGTGTTCTTTCTTAAAGGGTTATTAGAGGCTAAACTCAGTTCCCAGCTCTTTATGTGAACTACCAGGCTGTATCTAGTTTTCACCCTGCAGACTAGCTGAATTCATCAGTCGAACAAGACCTTCCGTAGGAACTAAACATCTTTTCATCTTGGTTAATGAAAAAAATGGAAACCACTATTTTAAAAATCAACCGCCTGTAAATCCAAGAACACTCCTGAACATAGCCTACAGATGGTGTCAAACTGCCGGCCCGTGGGCCGGATGCATCACGCAGAAGCCGAGCCCACCTCAGCTCCAGCGAGGGGAAAAACTCGCGATATGTCACAATACGCCATGCGACGTGGCGAGTTTGTCACCCCAACCGTAAACCAAAATCTCATTTACATTATATACCGAAAGTAACAATGTTCTCTTGTACCTTCATCCTAAACCAGGGGTAGGCAATCTTGGCTCTTTTATGACTCGTGGACTTCAACTCCCAGGACTCAGGAATTCTGGGAGTTGAAGTCCACGAGTCATAAAAGAGCCAAGGTTGCCTATCCCTGTCCTAAACCATGATTTATTGTGATGGGAATAAACTTGCTCCTTTACACTGTGGTCTTCCTGGTATGGCTGCAAATTCATACCCATTTTGGTTTCCGTTAGATGTGACTTGCTTTATTGGCCCATCTGTACTACTGCACTGTTCAGCTCCTAGATATGCTTTATCAGACTGCTGCCATCAACTATTAAGAATAATCACAGTTTAGGAAGGGGGAGGAATACCTTATCTATTCCAACCTCCACTTTCTCAGCATATTGGACCTTCCACTTCCAAAATTCCCAACCATCATGATCAAAGCCATCTTCAAGGTATAATTCCATTTTAGTTGAAAAATTGGGAAATGCAGTCCCCAACGTCTGGAAAGTTCCAGTTAAGGAAAGTTGCACTAAACCAGTAATGGCGAACCCTTTAGAGACCGAGTGCCCAAACTGCAACCCAAAACCCACTTATGTATCATCGGATGCTGGGTGGGCATGGCCCATTGGGTGGGTGTGGCCTATTGGGTGGGCGTGGCTGCCGTGGTAAAGGCAGACCGGGTGGGACTAAAAAGTTCAATCAATCAATTCCAACTTTGCGAGATCTTTTTTTTCCCCCGCGAGAAGTTGAAATTGATTGATTGAACCTTTTGTTTTTTTTTGCAGACGGCAGCGGAGGCCTAAAGCGAAAAGGTTTTATAAAACCCAGCTGAAGGCCTAGGACTGGGGCAACAGCATGCATGCCCACAGAGAGGGTCCTGTGTACCACCTGTGGCACGCATGCCATAGGTTCGCCACCACGGCACTAAACTGTTGAAAATGATTAAGCACCCCACCAGATAGAAGGCTGAACTAATGAGTTTGTAGTGGTATTCATGGCTCTTTCCCCATCAGAATAAAACTGGGGGCTGACCTCGGCCTGAATTGATTTGGTTTCCTCAAATGTTTTAACTATCTGTCTGCCATCCCTTGAAAAATGCCTGACCCAGGCATATTTAAACCAGAGGGCTGTCCAGTCTTTAAGACCTGTAGATTTCAACTCCTAGAATTCTATGCTGGCTTGAGAATTCTGGGAACTGAGGCCCACACGTCTTAAAGTTGCCCAGATTGGACAGCCCTGGCTTAAACTACGGGCCACCCTTGCAAGGATAAATTCATCTCCTGAGCTTTCGTATCACATCCTGCGTCTGCCCTGTTTTCAGAAAGTCCACGAGATGCTGAAGAAGGGCTGGGACGCCGAAGGGTCTCCGTTCCGAGGGCAGAAGTTCGACCCCTCCATGTTCAACATCTCTCCGGGGAACATGCATTTTTGATGGTAGCGGCAAGTGAAGAGGAGGAGGAGGAGGAGGAGAACATTGTGGCCTTCATCCTTGGCACGAGCCCCCCCCCTCCCGACGCTACTGCCAGACTTTCACATCCGACGCTGGAAGGGTCTCTTGTCCCTGCTTGTTCTTTGGGGCTTGTTTGTAAAATGACAAGATTGTTAAAAATGGTTGGCATGTGTGGGCTTGCTTTTGGGGAGGGGGCAGAGAGGGAATTGAAGTGCGGAACGTGGGTGTAAGTCCTTCCCTCCAGCGCCAGGTTGGCGCTTTTGATATTTATGTGGGGGAAGCCTAGCAAAAGCAGCATTACGTACTGTGTCACCACGGCAACCTGCAGCTGCTGGTTGCATTTCCTCGTCTCCTTAATGGATTCATTTGTTGCTTGGGGTGGTGGTGGGGGGAGAGAGAGAGAAGAAGAGAGGTTGGTTGAAGGTATTCCTCCTCCCCTTTTCAGAAATAGATGCAGCTGGGTGAAATGGTGACAACTTCTCTCTGGCTTCCTTGAAACCGCCTTCTCTGTGTGTGTGTCTGTGTGTGTCTGTCTGTCTCCCCGCTCTGCAGCTTTTAGGGAACCCGAACTCCTCCGAGTGCTGGGCAGCGACAAGTCCTGGCAATCTGCAATCAGTGTCATTTGAGCGGGATCTAAATTGTTGGGTTTGGTCCTCAAGACCCAAGGAGTGGGAGGGGAACGTTGGAGGATCAGGCACGTCAGTGGGAAGGAGCCCGCCCAGAAGGTGACACTTGCACCAGCGTTTCTATGATGGCCTAAGAAGCCTGGCCAACAGATAACCCAGTACAAAACGGGCACACTAGAGGCTCTTCATGCTGTGGTTTTCCGTTGTGTTTGTGATTCATAGATCACAGAATCTCAGAAAACTGCAGCTCCCTCTCCCTCTCCTCACCCCCACCCCCCACCCCAAATGCTCTAGCCAGGAAGCTTTCTGAGCTCATGGCCCCATTTTCCTCATTTCTCCACCTATAATTATATGAAGTGCTTAATTGTATTTTATACATTTCTGGGATTTTGATCAACAGGGAGATGGGGGCAATTAGGACCATCTGGCAGAGTTTTTAAGAGCCCTTTTTGTGTAGAGCGGTCCCAACAAAATTAGCCTCCCTCTACCCAGCTGCTATTTGCCCCAGAAAGAAAACTGCCATTAAGGTCAATAGTAATTTTTCCTCCTAGAGCAATTTCCATATGTATGTATGCATGTGGCCACTGTGATTATCATCTTCATAACTTTTAAAAAATAATAATAATATTAAACAAGGAAAAGTCGCCCTCCTATAGCTGGCTAGATCCTTTTAGGGACCCTTTTAACTAACCCCCTGCTTGTGCCATTACATAAGAACCCTGTACCATGTAAGTAATAAGAAATAGCTATACACAAAAAGGAAATAAAGAGATGGTACATTTCCATTTGTCCATTTATAACAAAAGCCCCAACCCCGTCAAAATATTAAAAACACATTTTTAAGTGAGTTGAATCTCTAAACAGGCTACTCGGAAACTGAAATAGCCGTCTTGTCTATCCTGAAGGAGGGGGGCCACTGATAGAACTGTTTGGGGGCTCAGTTTCTTTGAGAGAATTACAACTCTGACAACAAAGTCCATATAACGAGTGCAGAGTCTAATTTCACAGAGGATGTATCCATCCAGAAAGTGTTCCACCTTGTGACAGCTGGGCACAAAACTGACAAAAAGATTTGCTTTTTCAGAGGGGATCTTTTTATCTTACAGCAAGCTGAAAGACAACTGAAGAAGAGAGAAAAGAGAACGAGGATGTCATCCAAGGAGCCGGAAAGCAGCACATAATGTTAAAGAATATGGATGGAGAGAAGTTGGGTTGACTTGGAAATATGTTGTTACCTGTATCATTTTAGAATATGACTGAGTGAAATACTGAACTGCACAAAACATCCCACAAGACTGGCTTAGAGACAAAATGCATTCACTAGACCTATCTCTGCGTGTAGGTTGGTTAATGGGCATTCTGTGGTTTGAATCGCCAAGCTTAGCATGACCTGCAATGGTAGGATTCTAGTAGGAAATGGGAGAACATAGCCATGGTTTATTTTTAGTGTGTTGACAGCACCATCCCTGAATTTCTTCTAGCAGATGAAGCCAGGGTCATCTTGTTGGCTATATGGGAGAGACAATGAACTGTTGAATCAACTCTTAGAGCTCACAGGAACGTGCAAATGTTGAATCAACCCTGTGGTTGAAGTGGAGAGGATATTGATCCTTGGATTGCCCTAATTTTCGTCGTTGAGGAAGTATCTCATCCCTTTTTTGAGAAACGTAGTTAACTGCTTCCCATTACATAAGGCCTTATGGAGTGTGAGCTTTGGGAAGCGGCCTGGGCAAGACCTTAGCAATCCATTCACAAGAGACAGAGTGCTCTGGCCATGGGGGCAAGGCTGAGCACAAAGAACCGTTGCCTTGGCAGACAGCAGCCCTTCTGCTGCATGCTTTCTGGCGTATTCCATGCCACTGGAGGCTGCAGCTGCCATGCCATAAAAGCAACGATTGAAGCAGGCAGACGTTCAGCTGTGATGTGATGGGCAGGGCTGGAATCCCAGTCCCACATGTGCAAGGCGAAGGCTCCTTTGATGTGGGCCTGCCCTTGCTTCAGAGATAATGCATTTTGTTCAGTAATGGCCGCTCCTCTACAATCCAGTTTCTGAGGAAAGGACAGTGGTATGTTGGTTGTAGAAAGTAGGCCTGGGCAATCTTGCATTCTGGATGTTTTCTCCTGCAAGAAATGAGCTTTTAGCATTATAGCCCTTCTCTGGCTAATGGGGTACGTCCTTACTCATGTATTCCATCCATTATGTTCCATGGCCCTTGTGGGTTTTCCTGGATGCACAGATGAATACCTATGTCCCAAACAGCACCTAGTGTTAGGCCGGCTTCCTTTAAGCCAGGGGTAGTCAACCTTGGCTCTTTTATGACTCGTGGACTTCAACTCCCAGAATTCCTGAGCCAGCTATGCTGGCTCAGGAATTCTGGGAGTTGAAGTCCATGAGTCATAAAAGAGCCAAGGTTGGCTACCCCTGCTTTAAGCCATCAGTCTCTAATACAGTACAACTAACAGTACATTTGTTATTCTAGTGCCTATTTTTTTTTCCCCTTAAAGGAAAAGAGTAAAGAGTTGAGGGCTCAACTGCCAGTAAGTACTTCTCTATTTTACATAATTTATTATTTCTAAAGCACCTAAAATCAACCACGGAGTGGCTTTGAGGTTTGTCTAAAGTGCTGTGGGTGGTTCCTAGGAGCACATTATTCTGAAGAACTTCACAAGACCTGCTACTGATTAGTATTTTGTCCCCTGTCCACCCACACATTTCATTGTTGAACAAGGCCCCCAGTCTTAGAAATAACGTTTGTGGGCATTTCTGAGTTTGAGTTTCTGTAGAAATGCAGAACTTCTGGTTCTAGTGTGTTTGAGGGTGACTCTCTTAACAAGTCTGAAGTAGGATAATTCAAAAAGGGGGGCGGATCTCTGTAGGAGAAATTCATCCTTCTTCTTCTAGAAATAAAAGCCCCTGGGTTCAGTTCACTAAACAAAGTGATCCAGCAGTTTGGTTAAATTTCCAGCTAAAAAAAAAAAAAAAAAACAGGAGTTAGCTGGGTTGATCATTTTGGTGAGTCTGTATAATGGCTGTTCGCAGAACGTCAATTATCAACCCTTTTCCAAGAATAGCTTGTCACCATATAGATTTGTAGCAGTACATTTTGGCAAAATAAAGACAGGAAAAAAAAACTCAGCGGTGATATCAACTTGATTTTAGTCCTGCAAGTATTCTGGCAAGGAGATAACACGTCCCACAGAATATCTTCTGCCCAAATAATGCACCATTATTGAATCAGAAGTAGGGTGGGGAAGCGGCAAGAATCGAAGCTATGCACCAAAAGTGGAATCTTTGAAGAAATGTGATTTTATTTTTAATATATCTAATCTTCAACCCGACTACAGTATTGTATAGAGCCAGGTCACTGGGCACTCAGTTGATTTGAGATTGCACTGAACTCTAGCCTAGCTAGGCGAAGATAGCCTCCAGGATATTTAGTTTCTAGAACAGTGTTTCTCAACCTTGACAGTTTTAAGGCATGTGGACTTCAACTCCCAGAATTCCACAGCCAGCATTGCTGGCTGTGGAATTCTGGGAGTTGAAGTCCACATGCCTTAAAATTGTCAAGGTTGAGAAACACTGTTCTAGAAGAAATATCTCTGCTTTATTCTGCTCCATTCTGTGTTTTAAATGGACAGGCTTGCTTTCTCTTCTCATCAAGTCAACAAAGGGACATCCAGACCAAGCCTTCACAGGGTCACTCTTTCCAGCTTTCTCCAGCCCTCTAGTTCTCCATGGTAGCCTTTGATAAATTCAGTCCTGCTCTCTCACTGAAAATGGAAGAAGGGTTGTTAAGCACTTAACAAGCACACAGTGCAAAACTGCCACACATTTTGTACGCTTGGAAGAAGCTTATTTCTGGTTTTTCTCTCTTTTGTTTTTACTTCTCCTTCTTCCATGGAAAATGGGTGATGTTTCTAGCTGTTGTTGAGGGCACATTTTGATAGGCCCTTCTGAGAACTGGGGGGCTGCTATGGCCCTCCAAGACTTAGGAAAAGGGTTATGGTGCTTCAGGCATCCAGTTAGTAGCATGTGCTCTTCATCTATCTCAGTGGTGGCGAACCTATGGCCCGGGTGACAGAGGCGGCACTCAGAGCCCTCTCTGTGGGCACATGCACCGTCGCCCTAGTCCTAGGCCTTCAGCTGGGTTTTATAAAACCTTTTCGCTTTAGGCCTCCACCGCTGTGTGCAAAAAAAAAAAAGGTTCAATCAATCAGTCAATTTCAACTTCCCGCGGGGGAAAAAAAAGATCTTGCAAAGTTAGAACTGATTGATTGAACTTTTTAGTCCCACCCAGTCTGCTGTTACCACTGCAGCCATGCCCACCCAACTGGCCACACCCACCCAATGTGCCACACCCACCCGGCACGCGATGATGCATAAGTGGGTTTTGGATTACAGTTTGGGCACTCAGTCTCTTAAAGGTTCGCCATCACTGATCTATCTGCTTGCAATAAAAAGGTTTTGTTTCTTTTTGCAAGGAATCACGTGTCAGAAACTTAATTCAAAAGATCCTTTCTTTTATTCTTTCTCCCCCCCCTTTTTTTTCTCTCTCTCTCTTCTCTCTCGCCTAGTTTCTCATTGTACCACTGTAGAAATACACTGATAGGCCAACGTGAAATTTACTTGACTCATGTTCAAAGAGAACACTTGAATAGAACGCTCCATGATATTGAAAGATGAACTATGATTGAACTGCATCTGTTTTCAAGCACAAGCTATACAGAGTTCTTCATTTATTCAAAATCAGAAGATAAAATTATTTAATATTTTATCAAGCATTTTTCTGCTGAACTTGGTGTTGTCTATTTGGATGATGGCAAGTGGGTACAGTTTAAGAGAACTTGTTTTGTGCACCTTCATTCTTTAATAATTGGAGACATTGAATTATAATTGGGAAATTCTGCTTTGTTCCTAATCTGCGGGATCCAATCCTGCCACGATTTGGCTGTATAAGATATGTAAACAACTGAGCTCTTCAATAAGCATTTATGACAAAGCTAAAATTTTACAAGCCTTATATCATTTATAAAGATGTAGTACATCAAACAATTGCTATTTACTTTTCTCCCTCACCAGCTTTGATGATGGACTTTCATAATCCAATTAAATATTTCAACAGCTCTATTAGAGGAGCTGTTTTTAAGATACTGGTAATTATTTTTTCACAGTTGTTGATAAAAATTGTGATTGTTTTTAACCAAGACCTGTCCATCAAAATGCAAAAATAATAGCATAAACAAACAATTGCAGAACACAGAACACAGAACAGCAAAACACAATATTGGAAGGTTTCAAAATATTGGGAGGGAGGGAATTGCTTGCCTTTTGTGAATAACATTCCCATCATTACATCAAATTCTCTGGGTAATGTATTAATGTCGCATGTACTTTGCAGAGTAATTAGTTTTACTGCTACCTCTCTACAGTCAAAAGTGCTGATAATAACTTAAATTAACTTTAAACAGCTTCAACAATACTTCTAACTAAAGCGTCTTATAATTTTGTAAATATTTAGATTCGATCTTCATAACCCATAAGCCACAGTTCATTTGACCATAGTTTACTGAGGAAATAAAACTGACAGGGCTTACCCAACTTACAAATCTGTAAGTCCTGGTTTGCAAAGTATAATTTCAATTTCTAAGGCCGCCCACTCACTAACGACTGAACAGCTCAGGATTAAAAACACTACATTAAAAACCTTGAAAATACATTTTGCTTTAAAGCAACATGTGAGCCAGGCTCTTGGTTCACCTCTCAGCTCAGAAGAAGTGTTAGAAACATTAAGAAAGGACAAGTGAGAAAATAAGCAAACACATCTGTTTTGTGTCAAAAGAAATACAGAGAGATGAGGAAAGTGATTCAAAGAGACCAGTCTTGACCCAACTTTTTAGAAAGCCTTGCTCTAAGACTATCCCAACAAGCTTGTTTGCGTCCCAACCTATACAGGAGGGAAAATTATGCTTTTAATACTAGGGTTAATTTTGTTGGACATTGGGAGAATGAACTAATCTCTAATGCGGGATTCTAAAAAACTTCTGTATATACTGGGAGAGAAAAAGATCTGGTTTGAGTGACAGATTATAGTAAGGTATGATTTAACCATGTTTAATAAATAAATAAACTGGCAGGGTTTCTATTGTATGCTACCCTTAAACATGATTTGAAAAAGTAATCTTGAGTTTGCCCAAACCAAACCACTGGGCATCCTATGTGAGTTGGACCTTGAATTCAAGGGGACGGTCCTTCTAAATATCAAAACCTAGGCAAGGTGGAAGCCTTCAGTTTGCTTTGGAAAGCAGATGGGGTGGACAGGTAAGGGAGGGTGTCATTTGAAAAAAAGGGGGGGGGAATTGTTCCCACAGGTTTTCTCCCCCACCAAACAAAATGGGATGGATCATTTCTCACATTCAGCCTGTGCTTTGCCACCCTAGCTAGCTTACACCCAACTGTACTGCTGCTTCCCAGAGCCTTACATGATGATAATTCCTTTATGGTTAGAATAAAAATATCTGTTAGCAACATGCAGCCCCCACATACGCCCACGGTGCCCATGGCAACAGGCAGATATGGGCAGGCAAAGATGCTGGGGAACTTGGTTTGCACGGGCTCAGTGGGTGCCATCATCTGCTCTGAAGGAACCTAAAACTCAGGAATTCATTCTTCCCTCCTGGTTTTTGCTGGGCAGGAAGGATTCAAAGAGAATTGACTCCACTTTCCTGCAGAGTGCTCTGTTTGAGCAGTAGGGCGGTCCAACTCGCAATTCCCTATCTCCCTGCTTTATATGGCATGTCATCTTTGAGCATCAACATAAAATGCTTAGCAGAAGTGAGGACCCGTGCTTCTGCCTCTTGTGCAAGGCCTTTGCCTCGTGGCCTCCTCATGAAATAACTGCAGCAATGTGGGATGGGCAGGTAAAGGACAGTGTCCTTTCCTTAGCCGACTGAGACCCAGCTTGGACTCCAAGTGACCGTCTTAGAAAGCAAAACAAAGCAGCAACACTGATCCGCTGGCTACTTTTCCATCCTGGCTCTTTGGCTTATTTGAAGGGCATATTGATTTTGTTGTATGAATGAATTGTCCAGAGCTGTTGGCTCTGTCAACACCTTTCAACCGTTTGTTTGTGGTCCAGGTTGTACAGTACTAAAGGAACTTAAGAAACTGCTTTAGAAGGATCAAACTATTATTTCAGCTCGGCTAATATTGACTCCTTATCAGCAGCAGCTGTCCAGCAGCTGTCAGTGGGGAAGGCTTCCATCATCTGATAACTGGTCTGTTGCAGATTGCATTTGGCACCTTCCGTAGCATAAGGCTAACGTTCCTTGACTGGACAAGTTCCTGATCTTGCTGCAGAAGCCCATGGGAAAAATCTGGGGTCTTATTTATGGTTGTACCAATAATCTCTGCCACATGCTGATTTATTTTCTTGGTTTGTTTCAGAGCCTCTTATGCAAATCACTCTTAAGAAACGAGCTCCTTCTCAAGGACAGGGAACGTCATAGAATCTGAAAAACCTGCCCTTTGCTTGGTGACAGAGTAGATCTCAGCTCTGTTAACTAATTTCTAGGTCTGGCTCACCCACATGCTGAACCACGATGTGGTCTGGTTGGGTTTGATAACGTGCTTTGTGTTACCAAGTTATCCCAAAGGTGCTTTTTCAAAAGGCAACTGGACTTTTGTTTTTGCTTGAAGACGTTTCACCTCTCATCCAAGAAGCTTCTTCAGTATTGACCTGGATGACCGAGACAGTTAGCAAGTTAGGTGAACCAAGGTTTTAAGGATCAGTAGAAGGGAACCTGTAACTCTTGCCATGACTGGTGAAAGCTGACTGTTTGGTTCACTTCATCTGAAGGTAAAACACATGCAAATGTAAGCCCTAAGGTAAGGGTGTCACAGTTAAAAAAGGGGTGGGAATTAAGTAGGGTTGTTGGCTGTGTAAAAATTGCTTCTTTCTGGCTTGTGGTACAAGATGACCTTTACTTATAAAATGTGGAATGAATGAGCATGTGTCACTTATCCTCACTTGCCTTGAACCTTGAACCCCTCCAGAAATCACTGGAGATTTTTAAGAAGAGACTAGACATTCTGAGATGGCATAGGTTCTTCTGCTTGAGCAAGGGGCTGGACTAGAAGACCTCCAAGGTCCCTTCCAGCTCCTATTCTATTCTATTCTATTCTATTCTATTCTATTCTATTCTATTCTATTCTATTCTATTCTATTCTATTCTATTCTATTCCCTATTCTATTCTATTTCTATTCTATTCTATTCCCTATTCTATTCTATTCTATTCTATTCTATTTCCTATTCTATTATTATTATTAGTATTAGTATTATTATTAGTATTAGTAGTAGTAGTAGTAGAAATGAAATTTATGGCAATCCTTTCCTTCCTGATCCATATCCTGCCTGTCGCCAAAATGTCTCCTGTTGCCATGAAGTTTTACAATTCCTTCTTGAAGGGTTTCAAGTCTCCTTACACTCTGTTTTTCTAAAATATTTTTGTACTTTTGTACTTCCATAGACCTTGAAGATTTCCTGTCTACAAGTCATTTTCTTCATTCTGAAGGTGCTTTGACATAACAGAGTCAATCCTCAAGGAATTGTTGGGTTGAGTACTGGGGGCTAAAATAAAGTCGGCTAGCTTGTGTGGCTGTGCCTTGGGAACCCGCCCGGTGTGGTTAATGTATGATTCCATGTACCATGCAATTCCAGTGACTTAATAAACCATGTTTCATTTACGTCTCAATATGGCCAGTGGATTGGCTGTTCCAGGGAAGCACTTCAAGAGCTGCTGAAATCTAACCTTGCGCCTCTCTACTGGGAGTTGAAGTCCACAAGTCTTAAATTGGCCAAGTTTGAGGACCCTTGGCATAAGGACTTATCATAAATCACATTTTTCAGTGCTACTGTTAACTTCCAATGGTCATGAAACAAATGCTTGTAATGCAAAAGGGTAAGCAGAGACTGGGCCACCAGACAGCATTGCAGATGAAGGATCTGGGCTACCTCATTTGAAAATCCAGCCCCAAACAACTTCCTTCAAATCAAGCAAAAGCTATTTTGCGGTGGGTCTCAATAGGCAAGGGGCTAAAGCAGGGGTCCCCAAACCCCGGTCTGTGGACCGGTACCGGGCTGCAGCATGTCAACAACTGGTCCACACAAACAAGCAAAGCCCCATCTGTGGGATGCAGGCAACACACAAACCATGCATTCTCCGATCCATGGAAAAAACTTTCTCCATGGAACCAGTCCCTGGTGCCCAAAAGGTTGGGGACCTCTGACCTAAAGGATCATGGGAAGGATGGTCAAAGTTATAACCCTATACGTGGCATAGTGAGAATCCTGCTACGGTGCTACAAAGGATGGAACTGTGAAAAATAGTTATAAGACACCTGTTTCCATGCCGTTGTAACTTTGAATGGTCACTAAATGAGCGTCGGAAATCGAGGACTACCTGTAAGCGAAATGAATCATGGCCACAGAGGACCACTTCAGCATAGCAACCTGGCCTCGGTTTCCCCGCAAGAAAACCACCCTAATCCAGCTCTGGCTTAAGTTTGCAGCTCTAACTTCCCTTCAAAGGTGCTGACCAAGCACCTGAAGCCTCCGGAGCAAAGTGCTGGCCTCAGCATCTGAAAGCGGATGTCAAAGCAGGCAAGGAGAAGCCAGCAGGTCAACAGCCTGGGTTGGGTTGGGCCTGAGGGTGTCCTGCAGTAGCAGAAAGGGAGCTGCCACAGGGCCCAGGTGTCCATCCATGGATGACAGAAGGAGCTCTGGGCAGAAGAGACAGGAATAGAAGTCCCTTGGTGGGGAAAACGATCCCTGCAACAGGAGTCATTTCATCCAAGGCCAGCCTGGCTCGGAAGTCTCCGGGCTGCAGGTGAGAGAGAAAGTTGTAGGGCGGACTCGCGTTCACCTGGACTGAATTCAGACTAGGGAGTTGGGGACCCCAACACACGTCTGACCCGCATCCGCGGGAAGCAGAACGTCTGGTGCAAATTCAGGCCCGGGTCACCAGCCAGCCCTGCCCGGAGGAGAGTGTGTGTGTGTGTGGGGGGGGCTTGCTGGAGCTGGACGCAGCCAAGGGGCGCAGGTGGGAGCCCGATCCCCGCGCAAGCGGCAGCCGCGCCTGGCAGAGGAGTGGGCGAGGCGACCCCTCTCCTCCCCGTCGAAGTGGAGAACGCGCCCGCCCGCAAGCGAGCCGAGCCGGGGGCGGGGGGGTTGCTAGTCCGCGGGAGGCCGGTCGCCCCTCCCCTGGCAGCTCTCGCGGGCTCTGCCCAGTGCCGGCATCGCTGCTCCCTCGCTCTGCAGGGGCCGCGCTCCGCCGCCCGCAGCCAGGAGCGCCTCTTTCGCGGACCCCGTTGCTCGGCGCTTGCCTCGCCCCTTCCTCTCCTCCCCGCCCCTTCTGCCCCCCCCCCCGCCGCCGCCAGCCGGAGCGGAGCCCGGGCGGCTCATTGCGGAGTGAAGCTGCAGCCGCGATGGCCACGACCGTGACCTGCACCCGCTTCACCGACGAGTATCAGCTTTACGAGGAAATTGGCAAGTAAGGAGCCGAGGCCGCGGGGTCCGCCCGGGCGCGGGCAAGTCGGGGCTCCCCTTGCCCGGCTCGACGCAAAGCCTGCCCGAGACCGGCCGGGGGTGGGAAGGGGAAGGGGGGGAGGAGAGACGCGGGGCCCGGCCGCCGGCAGCCCCCTCCGGCCCGCCCGCAGAGCGACCCTCCAGGCCCCGCGCGCCCCGATCGAAGGCGCGGGGGGCATCCCGCCCGGCGCTGCGCAGCCATGACGCACGTTGCGGAGCTGCGGCCGGAGGGACCCGCCAGGAGCCGCGCGGCTCCCCCGATCGCTCCCTCCGCCAGAGCCGCGCCGCCTTTCCGGGGGGGGGGGCTTCTCCCGCGCCCTCCGTCCGAGAGCGCCGGAGCCGCAGCTGCCTCGCTGCAGTGGCGGCCCCCGGGCGGGCAGGGCGAGCACGTGGCGGCGGGGGCTGGAGGGGACTGCCCGATCCGCGAGGGGGGGCTGCGCGCCTAGCTGCGCCCCGGACGCCCCGGCCAGGCGTTGCCGAGGGCGGCGGTGGCTGCTGCTGCTGTGGCCGCGGCTGCTTGTTGCACGCCGGAGCGGGCGGGCGGGCGGGGGGGGGTCAGTGGAAGCCCCGCTGCTCCGGCTTGCTCGGATCCCTGGGCGAAGCGGGGATGGTTGTCCCTGCCTGGCAATTGTGGGGAGGGGGGGGAAAGAGGAGAGCTGCTGGGGGGGGGCTGCCCTGGGAAGCGAGGGGGCAAAGAGGGGGAGGGGAAAGGATAGGATAGGAGGGGAGGGGGAGGAAGGGGTTAACCGCTTGCCTTTCGAGCCAGCCTGGCCGGGGAGGGGGGGGGGCTTGGCTCGGGGAGCGCCCGGGAGCCGGGCCTATTGCGTAACGCTGGGGAGGGGTCGGGGAGTCCGCCGCTCGCCCATTGTGGGGCCGCCTTAGAATGAGGACCCAGATGGTTGGGGGCAATGTGAATATATATATATATATTATATATATATATATATATATAATATATATATATATAGATATATATATATATATATATATATAATATATATATATATATATATCTATCTATATATATATATATATATATATATATACATACACACACATACACATACACATTGCTTACTGGTGTACACCGCTTAGAGAGTGCTTGCACTTAAAGCGGTATATAAGTCTCATAAATAAAATTAAAAAAAAATAAATTCTGCGGGCTTGCTCCGCAACGGGTGGGGAGGCGGGGGAGGGGGGGAACCGGCCCATGTCGACCCCCTTGGCTGTAAGCTCCTTCACGGCGGGCGCTCTGCACCTGCTCAGAGGCTCTTCCGGCCGGCCAGGTGGCCGCGGAGAGCCGAAACGACCCGGGATTCCGTCCCGGTCTCTGCCTCGCTCGCTTGGACTCGAGCCAAACCAGGGTCGCGGGTGAAGGGGGTCGCGGTGTTCCTCGCCCAGGCGCTGGGAGCGATTTCTCCCCCCACGTGGCCGAGGGCCGTCCGACCCCTTTAACTGGGGCAGCCGGGTCCCGAAGCAGCTGCTCCTCCTGGCTGCTTCCCACCTTGGCTCCTTCTTGTGGTTCCTTCGCAGCTGGTGATCCCGACCAGCCTGCGCGCCCATTGAGCGGGGAAAGAGAGAGAGTGAGGGGCAACCATCCCTTTCCCCCCCTTTCTGCGGGTCTCCTCTACATTAAGGGCAGCCGAGGGTGAGAGTCCTGTTTATGGCTCTCCCTCCAAGGCGGCTTCCCACGGTCCTTCATCTGTAGAAGAGAAGAATTCTCCATCTGTAGAAGAGAAGAATTCTCTCGCTTTCCTTTGCACTAACTAAATAGACATTTTGAGATTCCGAGAGACATAAGCAAAATCTTACTAGAGTCTTGGGGAAAGGGATCTGCATTACCTCCTGTCCAGCCTATTGGATAGACTTGGGCTTTAAAGCTGGGAGAGAAAAGCTGCTTTTAGGCTTCCCCCCCCCTTCACATCACTTATCCATCTAGACACCCCCCCCCACCCAGTCATTCTTTTCCCCATTAGTTGCTGCCTCCACTTCTCCACCCCAATACTGTGAATTCTCCTGGGGTGGCAAAGTTTGTGGCCACTTATTTCAAGGATTCCAGAGTGGTTTGGGGTGGCTGACCTCTTTGCTGTGCTGAAGGAGTGTGTCTGTATGTGTTAGTGTGTCTGTGTAAATGTATATTATATAATATACTGTGACAGTCTTAAAAAAAAAACAGCTGCTGGTGTAAAAGCCATAGGAACAGGCTAAGCCATGCTTTTTTTTTCTGTGAATAATGACATGGGAAAAGCAGAACAGCAGGTGTCTCAACTTGATCTATTGTTAATCTTTCGTTTAGTTTTTCAAGGGACACCAGAAGCTTTGGACTTTTTCTGCCCCTGCAACTTGTTTGTTTGTTTGTTTGACTTCCTTTGAAAGGGGGAAATAAAAAATACATATGATTCAGCATGTGTTAAATGCTTTGTTTCACCCCCTTTCCCATTAGATTCTGGTAGAATTCAGATGGCTGTTGTGTCATTGTGGAAGGCCCACAATGTAACGTTTGCTGGCTTAGGTGGTGTTGCAAATTGTGGCTTGTGGTCGTAAATAACAAGTTTTTAAAAGCTGACAGGCTGTTTTTCCAAGATCAGCCTCTGTCCAGCACACATGCTTTTCAGCAAAATGAAAGAGGAAGAATTACGACTCTGGATGCAACCCAAATCTGTCTTTTCACATCTCCTTTATAATGCAGCTTCTCTTCTCTTTTTCCTCCCGATGCTTATCTGCATCTGTCAAGATTTTTTACTTGATCTGAAAGATTCCTAGAACCAGATCTAAAGCAGAAGAGAGAACAAAAAACAATCCTTAAGATAAAATGCACCTCCCCAAATAAAATCTTTGCCCACTAGGAATTCTTTTCCCCACTCAAAATTATTTTGTGGCTTTGTATAATAGAAAACCCCGTAGAATTACTGCTACATCTGTACATCCCCAGGTTATTAAGAGTTGTAATGTTCTTGCTTTGTACAGTTGGGTAATATACTGTTACGTACATTAGTGTATGTTAAGGGCTGGTCCTTTTTATTCAGTATTAGTTCCGTGTCAGGATTTCTGCACCGGCAGCATGAGTATTAAATTTATATCATCATTAAGCTCTCTTTTCTTGGGTGAGAATTGCACTTGTGTTTGATGGGGAAGAGCTATGATGTGGCAGGTAAAGCTAAACTTGAACTGGGAAATCCCAGTTTGAATTCCACCAACAACCAATAGAAACTCACTGGTTTGAGCCACTCTCTCTTTTTCAACCTAACCTACTTTACAGGGTCATTTTGAGAATAAAAGAAAGATCCTCTTGTAAGCTACTATAAGCTTCTGGGGAAAAATGGTGGGCTATAGATCTTCCCAAATCATTCCAAAAAAGAACTGGGGAAAAGAGTGGATGGAACCAAGTGGAAAAACAACATGTGATTAAATTAAAATGAATTGAAGTGACAATTAACAGGACTGCTCCCCGTGCATTTAATTATTTTTTCTTTCCCTCTTCGAAACTCAAGTGTGTTAACCTCTTGAAGAGACCTCTGAGTGAGGACCGTGTGCAGCCCTGAGTTGACATAAGGCAGGGGTCTTCAAACTTGGCCCTTTTATGACTTGTGGATTTCAACTCCCAGAATTCCTCAGCCAGCATGCTTGGCTGAGGAATTCTGGGAGTTGGTCCACAAGTCATAAAAGGGCCACGTTTGAAGACCCCTGACATAAGGCTAACTGTGGAGCTACAGTTTCCATGATTGGCTTCATTTGGGTTTTCCTTCTGCTGGTCAGGGTGGGAATGCTGCCCCACTAATCTCCCCCAGCCAGCCAGAGCTACCCAGATTAGTCAGTTGCATGTTAATTGCATGTTAGTCAGTTAGAGCAAACTCTAACAAGAGATGTGAAGCATCTTGGATCACTGGCTCCACCTTTTCCATCCTGTACCTTCTAAAGGTCTTAGACTTCACCTTGCCTGTCATTGTCCCCAAAGGTGCTTTTTCAAAAGGCAACTGGACTTTCTTGGTTTTCCCTTGGACATTTCGCTTCTCATCCACGATCTGAAGAAGCTCCTAGGACAGGGGTCTTCAAACTTGTCCCTTTTATGACTTGTGGACTTTTTATGACTTTTATGACCAGTGTGCCTGGCTGTGGAATTCTGGGAGTTGAAGTCCACAAGTCATAAAAGGGCCAAGTTTGAAGATCCCCGCTCTAGGAGAAGAAGTGAAACGTCTTCAAGGAAAAACCAAGAAAGTCCAGTTGCCTTTTGAAAAGCTTTGGGACAACCATGACCTGGATGACTGGGAATCTCCATAGACACTAGCCTGGTTGGCTGAAGGAATGATGGGCTTTGGAGTCCAATTCTTCTGAAGAATCCCAAGCTGAGAAGATTGGATCAGGAGATACATTGATGTGGTAGTAGACTAGAGCTCCTTTTATGAAACAACAACCTCTTGTTAGATACAGTGTTTCTCAACCTTGACAATTTTAAGGCATGTGGACCTTAAATTCTGGGAGTTGAAGTCCACATGCCTTAAAATTGTCAAGGTTGAGAAACACTTTGTTAGAACATGACAGCTTTTCTTCTTTGTCCTAAAATCAATCTTATTCTCCTTGATTACTTTGCCATAACTCTCGGTTTTGTAGCTGGGGCTTTTTTTTTTTTTTTTTTTTGGAGTGCTGGTGGTCTGCAATTCTAGTCACTTATTACCAACACAACAGCTCAGGTGGATTTCTCCAGAAGCTGTTCACTCCCAAAGATGATCCTTTTTTCTAATCCGGCAGAAAGTAGAGTTTGTTTGCAGCTTTTGATGCCTTTACATAATGGTTGGATTTAATGGATTTATGAGGTTCTCATGTGCATCACTTAGGAAGAGACACTATTATGTTGATGTGGTAAAATGAGATCTCTAGTGATCGTCTTATCCCTCCATCTTCTGACTGTTGCTGTTGGATGGGATTGTCCTGTCAGGAGTCCCCAACCCCGAGCTGTGGACCACGGCA